CCCTGCTCGCATGCTGACGCTCCCATGGAGAGGGTGTCTTGCTATAGAGGGGGACTGGAGGTGTGCTTACTGTGAGGCTCCACCAGATGCCGGATATGGCAGCTTGTTTCCTGCCTGAGGAGCAGGGGCCGAGGGTCTGTCCGTGGATATGGTGGGGGGGAGGAGAGCCTCGTGTAGTGAGCGTGGATTGCACAGCACTTCAGCTGCCCGTGGACACCGCTGAAGGGGAGGGCATGATGAGGTCAGTGTCTCTATCTCTCACGATGGGGAGCCGTCGTATCATGTGATGATGGATCATCATTTTTATTTGGCACAAAAATTCAAGGTGTTATCATGTAATTGTGTTAATTTTAGCCTAGCATCTTAGGGATTGTTAGGCAAATAAAAGGAAATTGCGTAATTATTAAACAAAATTGAAAGGTCCTAAATCAACCTACATGTGGGTTGTTTTGTGGCAGGTTGGAGAATCAGGCTCCCATATCTACCTAACAGCTAACGACTGTGCCAGTGGCATTGTAGGAATGGTCAACTGTTTACAAAGGGAGCCAGGTGGTGACAGAATCAGGTGCAACTTTATAATTATTGTTTAATGATGATCAACTCCTGTGTCTATTACTATACTGCATACGTCAAGATACATGCTAACAAATATTTCTTCCTAACACTATTAACACCATGCAAAACTAAGATTAATTGCATGCACGCATGCATTCATATATAATAAATGACTAATAACATTATTACTCTAAGCAAATATTTCGTTTACCATCTGCATGTACTCACCATCCAAATACAATCTGCTTGTCTGCACAGGTGCGTGTTAGATGAGGAAGGGATGGTCGAGGTTGGAGGCAAGAGGTGGGAGGAGATGTGCAGGAGAGACTTGGTCATGAATGTATACAGAGAGGGACTGTGGGGCTCATTCCGTCACCTGCCCTTCAACCAAGGTATGACCCGGCTATTACAGGCAGATCTTAAACGTGCGACCGTTAACTGCTGGCAATATACCAGTGGAAGTCATCAAGATTCACACTCATGTTTCACTTTGATATTGCTTTTATGCTGTGATGTGAAGATAGAATGATATGAGCAGATCATGCTGTGTTCACCCGTATGTGTGTAAATACTGTATCAATACCGTTCCAACACACATGTTCGCAGATGAGGATGGAACCAAGATGGCCGAGCACGCGTACGTGAACGTGGCGACCCGTGGCGACCTTTCCAGCCTGCGCTGGTTCGAGTCTCCACTCAAGCACTGGGCGTCGATGACTGACGACAAGTACAAGGAGCTGTGCTCTGTCAGCTACGCCTCGCTCAACTTCAGAGATGTGATGCTGGCAACCGGCAAGCTGCCACCGGATGCCATTCCAGGTACGTCATCAACACTTCACAGGTTAATTACATGCGTGGTACTTGTGGGGAATACAATTGAAAGCAGGCAATGCAGTAGAAGACGTCAGGATTTATGAGGAAAATTTTTGAAGAAGAGGGAGGGGAAGGAGGATGACGACTGAAGTTTCAGTCCGATGCATCCAGATATTCACAAGTCAATGACACCATTATTGTCCTTTCTGCTTCTGTTTCCTTAGCCTCCTTGGTTCTCTGACAAAGTGATTAAACTCTCAATGTCGTGATCGTGAGATGTCGCTACTGTTGTTATAGGTCACATGGCGCTGCATGACTGTATCCTCGGCATGGAGTTCTCCGGTCACAGCAGCGATGGAAGGAGGATCATGGGATTGCTGCCAGCTAAGGGTCTGGCGACGACCGTCGACGCTGATATCAAATTCACGTGGCCTGTGCCTGAGTCGTGGACGCTGAGAGAAGGCGCTACCGTGCCTGTGGTCTACGCGACAGCCTACTATGCTCTTATCGTGAGGGGCAGGCTGAGAAAAGGAGAACGGTACGCATCCTGATGCGATAATAGGTGTGGAAGTGCAGGAAATTCATTTCTCAACTCTTTTACATAGATATAGGTGGTCCATCACCTAGAAATATAAAGATGGGTGATGATCAAATTATTTAAAGGTGGCTGATCACTAAGTTACATATAGATGACTGATTATCATCGAGTAATTCACAGATGGCTAATCAGCAGGGATTTATAAGATGGTGGCTCACTGGAGATGTTTAAGATGGGTGCTGTGCTAATTCTACCATGTTACCACAGGGTGCTGATACACTCTGGCAGCGGGGGTGTGGGGCAGGCGGCCATCTCGGTGGCGCTGCACCATGGATGCGAGGTGTTTACAACCGTCGGCTCGCACGAGAAGAGAGACTATCTGAAGCACAAGTTCCCACAGCTGCAGGACAAACACTTCAGCAACTCGCGCGACGCTAGCTTCGAGCAGGAGATCCTGATCGCCACCAAGGGAAAGGGTAACAGCAGTCACTCACACTCTCTCACACACCTACTGTTATAGTGTATAGACACCGTCAGTACTATTCTACATGATGTGGGGGAGTAGGGATCGATGGATTAGGGTTGCTGGAGGGAATTCTTCATCTATCCAAGACATATGCTCTACCTGTAGGGCATAACTCCACGTTATGCTGCCATATTTAAAAAAAATCCCGTCGTTAGTAAAACTTATTGGCATAGTCGCGTTTATAAGTTACATGTTAGCATGAGCATATATACACTATAGATAGGTATAGATATATGTTATGTATAGATAGTAGAGTAGTATTGATGTATCTGTGCTATCGGTGTATTGGCAGCAAACGCAAACGTTCGCGTGTGTGCACCACTATTGATGTGATAGAACTACAATGTAATATTTGTTTAAGTGTATTTGTTATAGTTTTGTGTATTTATACTTGACAGTTATCCAATTACTACAGTGAGATAAAAGCTTTTATTATATTTAAAAGTACATTGTGATTGTGATATATGCATTGATAATAATCAAATCAAATGAGATAAGATCATTCCCCACCTCCCAGCATTTCTGTTGGTAGTTATCTAGTCTGTCTGGCTATATTTTTTTTAGGTTCATGGAGTTTGTGATGTATGCCTTGATAAATAAACGAATAAATGTACTAAATAATACTATGTGTATTTTTTATTTTTTATCTCCATTTTAATATACTGTCCTCTAACCCCTTTTTATTTAGATCGAATCACCAACTCCCTCCATGTTTCTTGCAGGTGTGAACGTCGTGCTGAACTCATTGGCAGATGACAAGCTACAGGCGAGCGTGCGTCTCCTCGCGCAACATGGCCGCTTCCTTGAGATCGGCAAGTACGACCTGTCGAGCAACACGCCGCTAGGCATGGCAGTCTTTCTACGTAACGTCGCCTTTCACGGCATCCTCCTAGACGCCCTCTTCGACCCCGACAATGACGACTGGATGCGTGTGCGCCACCTGGTGGCCGAGGGCATCGCGAGCGGTGCAGTGCGCCCCCTGAAGGCGACGGTGTTCGCGCGCGATCACGTGGAGGAGGCGTTCCGCTTCATGGCACAGGGCAAGCACATCGGCAAGGTGCTTGTACAGGTAAGAGCTAGACATGCGTGCCTGCGTGAGTGCATGCGTGTGTGCGTGTGTGCGTGCGTGCTAGACATACAAGCGGGTGTGCGTGCACGCGTGCGTACGTGCGTGCGTGCTGTGTACTTGTGAGTGCTATTCATACAAGCATTGCGTCGTGTGACGTGAGTGCTAGACATACAAGCATGCGCTGCATGCAGATGAGCTGGTAGACATACAATGCGTGTTGTGCCGTGCATGCGTGTGCGTGAGTGCGTTGCGTGTATGTATTGCTCGGCGTGAGCTGCTAGACATACAAGCATGGTGGTGCGTGAGTGGCTAGACATCACAAGCCGGTGTGATGCTCGTGCGAGTGCGGGATTGATTTAGACATCAAGCATGTCGTTTCGTGCGTGAGTGCTACGACATACAAGCATCGTGCCGTGCTCTCGCTGACGTGTAGACATACAGCGTGTAGTGCGTTGCGTGCCGATGTGCCCTAGAGCATACAAAGCATGCGTGCGTCGTGGTGCTAGACATTACAAGCTATGCGTGCGTTGCAGTGAAGTGTTAGACATACAAGCATATTATGCCGTGTCGTGCCGCTGCTGTGCGTGCCGTGCGTGAGTGCCTCGACATAACAGCAATGCGTGTGCGACTTCTTATTAATTTGGCTATTTCTCCTCATTTTCCTGTGAGCGTGCTAGACATACAAATTAAGCATGCGCTGTCTGTGCGTGAGTGCTAGAACATACAAGTGTGCTCACTGCAGGCTGACAGACACGTACGTAACTGTCGGTATAATTAAAAATAGAATTACAGGGAATTACTTGGCAATGGAAATACGTTCCGCTATACTATTGTATTTGTAGATAGGTATGGGTTATTATATTTTGCGGTGGATATTATGGACTCTTGTTGATCATTATAGTGAGCGAAATGTGTTTCAACAATATTGACTGCATAGCGTGAGTAGATGTAGCCAGTCTAACTTCTCGCTGGTAGGTAAGAAGGAAGAGGCCGAGGTTGGACGGTAGACTAGGCACCACTAGCTATTGCCGTTGTGCGCAACACCAGCTGTCACCCGGCAGAAGCTCACTACATCATCACAGGGGGCTAGGTGGACGTTCGGACTATGAGCTGTGTCAGGTGACTGATTCGAGCTATGGGGGCTCAGAATGTTGTCAGCTCACCAGCCGATCCGGCATGAAGACAGGTGCGTGCATAAAGTAATCACAACTATAGCAGCTGCCTATAAGACTGCGGTAATAATAGTAGAGTATAGTAGCACCATAAAACAATAATACAGTAAATAAGAGTCGAGAGACCACGTAGCAAATAACACTAACATATAACACGCAGCTGGCTAAGACTGCACGTGAACGTAACACGTACTAAGTGTTGCAGATAAGGTCTATGTCCCCCTGATGTGACCTCTGTTTGACCTGCTCGTTTAGCCTAATTTTCTGACTAATATATTATATCTATAAACTATATTTTAATGTATTATATATGATATAGCGGTTGGGTTATGTCAGAAATAAGCCTCAAACGAGCCAGGGATCGAAACATGAGGTCAGGGGGGCATATAGACTCTACGAGCCTAAGTGTTGGACGTATGGTCGTAGCCCTAGACTGTGTACTCCTAGGCTTAGCCAAGTGAACAGATAAACGTTTTTTGCAAAGTATTTTTACTACTTTTGTGCTTTATCAGTTATCCATGCCCCGTCACGTAACTGGTTTGAATTACAAAAATCTGCAACAAATGAAACGAGCAACCAAAACAGATTATATATGGTACAACAATCAAGCATATTGCGTAAGACATATATGACATCATCACGAGAGCTGTTCTCACCACAGGTTACCAGCAGTACAGATTGGCGGAGTGGCGCAATCTGGGTGTGAAGGTAGAGGTCAGCAAGATGGACGCCAGCATAGAGGCACAGGCGAGACAACTGATTGACGTGACACAGCAGATGGCGCCACTAGGCGGCATCTTTCATTTGGCAGCGGTGAGAATACACACCTTGTTTGTGTGAGAGGAAGGTGTTCCCTAAAATATATACGGGTTAAATAGATCAGTGCTTGATCAAGATTAGAGAGTTTCGTAATGTCTGGTCTCACATATACCTATATATGGTCGGTGTCGGAATATAGTTGGTAATTATAATATTGAAGTTTAATCAAAAGGGCTGGCTGAGCTTTTCAGCTGATTTAGGAACGCACGTATCCCCAAAGTAATAATATTCATTCATCGGATCTCGATCACTTCTTATGTGCGTCCAAACGATTGCAATATGCGTTGAAACTGAATGTTGGAACAGTGGACTCATATTCGACTGCACACATCCGCTTTAGGTGTTGAGGGATGGACTGTTCGAGAACCAAACAGCAGAGACCTTCAGCGAGGTAAACAAATCTAAGATGGCGGCTGCAGTTAACCTTGACCTCGTGACCCGCGACACGTGCGCCACCTCGCTGGACTGGTTCGTTGTGTTCTCGTCTGTGAGCTGCGGCCGTGGCAACGCTGGACAGACGAACTACGGCTACGCAAACTCAACGATGGAGAGAATCTGTGAGAGACGTCAGCGGGACGGCTTCCCTGGTGAGAGTCTCTCTAAACAGCCACTAACGTTTTGGGGACGTTACTTACTGCTTGCCATACACCAGGAATTCATGTACCTATTTAGAAAGGTGGATAGATCACTGCATTCCAGATCTATATATCCGGCCCATGCTGTGTTGGTATATATGTCATATAGATATAGTGTATTCAAATGGAACAATGTTCACTTGTTTTGTCGACATCATTGTTGTTGTTTTTGTCGTCATCCTTGTCGTCGTCGTTGTTGTTTGTTGGTGTTGTTACAGTTGTTGTTTTTTGTTGTTGTCATCATCATCTTCGTTTATGTTATTTTGTTATCGTCATTGACGTTGTCGTTTTGATGTGGTTGTCTTTACCCATATCGTCGTCATTCTTGTCGTTGTTGTCATCGATGATGCTGGCAGCATGGAATGATGAAACGTTTTTCTGTCTGCAGCGCTCGCGATCCAATGGGGAGCGATCGGTGACGTGGGGCTGGCACGCAGCCTGGGAGGCAATGATGCAGTCATAGGTGGCACGCTGCCGCAACGCATTACTTCCTGCATGCAGACGATGGATGTGCTGCTGAACCAGCCATTCCCCGTCGTCTCCAGCTTTGTGCTTGCAGAGAAGCGTGGCAGCGGCGGCGCATCCACACAAGGCTCTCAAGTCGACCTTATCCACGCTGTCGCCAACATCCTTGGTACGCTATTAAATTCTACGTCATCACTAAATTAACATTTCTCATAACACATAGCATTTTTTCTGTAAATATTACATAATTATTCTGTAAAAACTATTAAAATGTAGTTACACAACAAACTTTGTAGTTACATAACATCTTGGTTGATATAAATTAATGACACAAAAAGTCATTTACTCTCTACAGTGGTGTTGAAGAAATGTCATTACACATGCAGTATCCCTTTTTAGAAGTCCCCTCATTACACTTGTTTGAATCGAGTAATAAAATATCTCCCGTCAGAATTGATACCCTTGTAAACTTGACACTAATTTAGTTTTGTTTACGAATACTATAAATTATGACATTAAAATATGTTTGAATCGAGTCATAAAATATGTCCATCAGGATTGAAACCCTTGTAAACTTTGCACTTTAGTGACATTAAAATATGTTTGAATCGAGTAATAAAATATGGCCGTCAGGATTGAAACCCTTGTAAATTTTACACTCGTTTTTTTCACAAGCATGGTAAACATTGACATTAAAATATGTTATAATGAGTAATAATGTGCGTAATTTTGTGGCGGCAGGAGTGAAGGACGTCGCGACGTTGAATGCTGAGCTGACACTGGGAGAGCTTGGTCTCTACTCGCTGATGGGTGTCGAGGTGAAGCAGACGCTCGAGCGAGACTTCGACCTCTCACTATCGATGGAGAACATCCGCCTGCTGACGATGCGCTGCCTCGAGCGCATCTCTCGC